TTCCTAATTGAGCAATGCTCTCAGATCAAACTCTCCATGCTTCCTAATCGAGCAATGCTCTCAGATCAAGCTCTCCATGCTTCCTGATCGAGCAATGCTCTCAAATCAATTTCTCCATGCTTCCTGATCGAGCCATGCTCTCAGATCAAGCTCTCCATGCTTTCTGATCGAGCTATGCTCTCAAATCAAGCTCTCCATGCTTTCTGATCGAGCTATGCTCTCAAATCAAGCTTTCCACGCTTTCTGATCGAGCTATGCTCTCAAATCAAGCTCTCCACGCTTTCTAATCGAACTCCTTACACTCTCAGATTGAGCTTTTTATGCTCTCTGATCGAGCTCTGTATGTTCTCAGATCAAGCTCTTTATGCTCCCTGATTAAACTCATAAGCTCACTCATTCGCCTGAGATCATGTGTTCAAGATCTCTCAAATCTCTTAGATCGCACTAGGCATAACTCAAGTTCTTTAGTTCGAGACTGCAGCCTATAGTGCAACAGCCATCTAGATCAAAGGCATGAGTTTTTGAAGTGTGATTACGCACTTCAAAAACTGGGGGGGGGGGGGGGGGGGGGGGGGGGGGGGGGGGGGGGGGGGGGCTGCTATTGTTGTGCAGTCTATCTGGAGAGGATAATTTCTATTAGGAGAGAAGATATTTAGATTGGCTCAATTTGGAAGGAACATATTCAGATTGGCTTAGACTCCAACTAAGGTAGTCGAAGATCATGCAACTTCCCCATTCTACGTATTTAAATCTTATCTCAACTCTATCATGTAAATGGATACTATATAACCCATCATAACTTTTTTTCAGGGGGGTTGGGCAATTGTTATAAGCAAATTTTCCTATGAATTATATTATTTTTTATGAGCTCTCAAAAGCAATAAGATAACAGTGGACGTAGGCTCAAGTTATAACTTGCCGAACTACTTTAAAAATTGTCTTTTGTTCTTATTTATGACTCTTTCTTTTTTATTCATTGCTGATTTTTATTAAATCATGCGCACATCCATTCCGATTCTGACAGGGTCAATCGGAATTCTCTGGTTTGTATAAATTTCTGTGTTAACAAATTTTATGCTATAATAACAATCTCACTAGAAAAATGAGGTAAAATTAATCTACAATATATTAACAGTAAAAAAAATATTACAGCTAATTTGGAAATAAAAAGGATTAGCTTAGACATTTATATAAGGGAGAACAACATATTCCTATCCAAGGTTCAGTGAAACAACACTTTTTCCACCCGTCAAGTTTCAAAACGACACTTTCCCACCCATCGTTATGTTCTACTAGAAAAATATGTTCTCTAACATGTATAAACAATGTAAAGACAAAACTACCCTTCTCCCTTTTCTTCTTTCTCCTTTGCCAAAAACGCTGCCAATTTGCACCTGGCCGGATGAAACTAGAAAACACAATACCCCTGAAGCCTGACTTGGCTTTAGGTTCACTAGATTGTGTTACAATATTAACATTACAACAAGAAACTGGTTTTAAAAACAAATCATCATCTTCAAAGCTACAAATGGTACCAAAGTATTTATGTTAAAACGAGTGTAAAAGCTTAAACATAGAACTGGATTTTCAGAAATATGAAGCAAAACTTTCATGTGGTATAGTAAGATGATTAATGCGGTGTTACACCTTTCAAATTCAGAACAAATGACATTATGTTTGTTAGTATATGCCCTAGGAACCAATCGTGTCATCGGTTCCGAGGCATTATGTTTTGTATATATATGTGAATGTATATAGTTTGTATATACATTTTATCTTATCAATAGAAGAAAGTGTTCTTATTTTACATGTGGTTTATTGCTTCATTTATATATATGTGGTTTATTGCTTCATTTATATATATGTATTACATGTGAAATGTCCGAATGATACAAATCTTTAGAAGATCAAAATCATCAAAGTATTCCCTACATAGGTAATATTAATTGGGCAATAATATTACATAGTAAGCATGTTGAATGTCTTCGTAGAATATCATGTGATGATATTGGTGTGGGTGATTATAAAAGTTATATCACTAGGGCATTAACATGGATACGCGGTTAGTGATCTGTTTATCGAATATGGCAATTTATGATGACTCACATGGACATTTAAAATGTAGTTAATGATTTATCATAAGATCGTACTAGGGTATTATTAATCCTTAGACCTGAGATATCACGGTTGGATTCTGCATAAACGTATATGGTTCATATGGTGTATAAACATGAGGCTAATCATGCCATGTGTTAATAAGCCAATTTGATCATGTGTTGTTTATGTGTGAGGACAAGTGATAGTCAAAATGGGATCCGTTGACTTGGTATAGATTGATATCAAGTTCCTAGACAAATGTCAAGATACATTGGAAAATGGAAATCTCCAGCCGGGGTATATAAAATGTTACATGAAAGGTTGTTTCATAGTGACACGTTCCATATGTATTGAATTAAAATTAAGATAAGGATTTTGACATACCATGAATCCATTCTTAATTGGGATTAGATAACGGAAGGATTTGATTATACAACTTGTATGATTGTAAAAGGTTCGTTGGAGTATATCTTCATTGTGACTTAGGGGTTATGGAGCATTGCTAGATGCCTACCATAATCAGTGGGAGTTTTGTTTATAAAGAGTTATGACAAAACATATCGAAATAGTCTGTGATATTGGGCCCACGGCTAGGCCACAGTGAACCTAAGAGGTCACACATAAAAACTAAGGAGAATGAAGAAATAGCCAAAGAGAGTTGATTATCCAAGGTTGGCTAGCACCTACCAAAGGTAATAAAGTTATTTATATTAATCATTTTCTTTATATTAAATTGGATTTTACAAGGGGTTGTAATTGTAAACAATTTAAGGGTTAAATTGTTATGTAAACAATTTAAGAGTTAAATTGTTAATTGTGATTAAATGTTAATCCAATGTTATCATTTAAAGAAGTTTAACAACTTCATAACAATTATGGAATTGTTTAAGGAAGTCCAAAACAATTATTGAATTGTTTACAAGGATTCCTATATAAAGAAAATGATATATCAATTTTTGTGTAGAGAAAAATCTCTAAGAACCCTAAATCTCCCTCTTGGTCAAATCTCTTCTTCCCTTGGTGTGGATACTCTTTTGCTTAATTTCTCTTGAAATTAAGAGTCTCCAAGGTTGCTAAGGGCTTAAGGTAACATGTTCTACCTTACTTATTTCAATTTGATTGAATTTTTTTTAAAACTATAACTATACTTGTTATAGTATGATATGTTTGACTCTCCATGCATCCATCTTTCAATGTTTTCCACAAGTTAATATGGTCAAGATGGAGCTCTTCGAATCATTCTCAAACTAAAAATTTCAAGCAAAAGTTCTCTACTTAAAAAATTACACTAAAATTAGAAAGGGAGATAAAAAGGTAAATCTAGTTGGGAACTACTAATTGTTTCTTGCCCTTCTTGCTCCCACGGGTTGTCTCCCCTCCCTTATCATTCTAAGGGGGCGTTTGGTTGGGGGTTATATGGGATTACTAGGGTAATGTCATCTTATATTACTTGATTACCTCGTTTGGTTGTCAAAGTAATGTAAGATTCTGGTAATCCTCAAATACTAATAGTAGTTACTATTGGTAATATAGGAGGTAATCTGATTACCTTCATTTTCTTAGGTATTCTAAGATTACCAAGGTAATCTTTTTTTGTAACAATTCTACCCCTTATTAATAAAATTATAGGACAATAATGCCCTTGTTATTTAAACAATTTACAAAAAAGTTATGGACATTTTTAACCTTACAAACAAAAATTTAAACCTGTTTATACCCTCCAACTTCAACAAAATTAAAAATTCCCAATTCATTACTACGTGAAAACCTAACTCCTTTACTCATCATCTATCGAATTAAATCTTCATTTACCAAATTAATTACCCATTTTTTCCACAGTTGAACACAAACCCATTTGCATTTAACTTTAGCTTCCTTTCATGTTCAGATCAAGTGGAGTGCGTCTGTTGCAAATTTCTCGTCTTCACTTCCAGCAAATCTTTGAGTGTTACTTGAATCTGTGCCGTCTTCTGCCGCTGAATCGAGGTAATCATCCAGTTTTCCCAAGTGTCCACTGCCTTTGGGTTGCCTGGGGTGATGTTTGCAGGGGTGTAGGATGGATCTTGGAGTTTTGTTGGTTGTTTAGTGCATGTCGTTGGTTTTGTTTCAGTATTATTCATTTGAATTAAAAAGTTTGCATTTCACTTGCGGTGTTAAATTGGGTAGGGGCTGGGGCCTCTGTTGGTCCACCATTGAGATTTCTCATGGCAGTTCTGATAATATAAAGAAATGTATAGGCGTGCTGGATTGGAAAGAGAATAAAACAGAGTGATAAAGAGAGAGTGGCGTGGAGGGTGGCGACAGAGGTGGCACATAACTCAATAAAGACAGCAATTATTTGACCCAAACCCAAGTACTTCAGTTCCTTTTCTTCCTACCGGTGGGCGAGGAGGGCGTCGGGGACGGAACGACCCTCTGAGTTCCTTATGAACAACAGAGTATAAATTAGAAAGCAAATAATCAGGAGCATCAGGACCGTTAAATCCATCATAAATCTCACCAAAAGCCGACAACTGGCTATCCGTGTGTTGTTACGTTGCTAGATTCTGGTGGCCGACGGTGGTTGTCAACGGCCGACAATGGCTGGGTTGGTGGGGGTGTATTGTTCATTTTCCAAACTTTTATTATGGGGCTGTTTTTGCTAAGTTTTTAAAAGATAGGGAGTTATAAAATCTAAATAATATTATAATAATAATATTTAATTAAAGGACAATTCAGTAATTTAAACAACATACCCACCAATTTATTCCTTCTAACCAAATATATTAATAAAACATACCCACCAATTTATTCCAACTAACCAAACACATTTTCCTAAAGATTCCCAGTAATCTTCCAAGGTAATCTATCTTTCCAGTAATCTAATATTTCTCAACCAAACGCCCCCTAAAGAGTATATCTACTTGCTTTATGTTCCCTTCCTGATTAAGGCTAGTAATCAAATCCTCACAACTCTTCCAATCAGTGGCCCTTCCTTTCGCCAAAATTTCAAACAATAAAGAATATGCATTGAGAGTCTTCTCAATTGCTAAGAGAGCATCCAACATCTTCTCACAACTTGAAAAGTCTACAATGCAGTCTCTCTCCACACAAAAATACAACAATTTCAGAGCAACAACGGTCTTCCCTTTCTCAGATAGAATAGATAGAAGACTACCAAAATTGGGTGCACAACCACTGTGCATCAGCAGATCAATGCATCCAAGGGCTTCCTCAACATGACCTCTCATGAGAAGAGCTTCCAAGGCCTCGAAGACCAAATCGCATATGGCCAAATCGACGCGGATTTGGTGTGATTCCATTTTTACCATCCCTTCCCTAATCCTATCAATTTCCCTAACAATTCAATACACAAAAAATAGCCCATTTCCCTAAATAACAACAATATAACGCCAGATCCGGGCAATTGGTGGGGGAGGGGAAATGATGAAAGTGATATCATTTGGCGAAGTAAGTAGTGTGTCTTGAGTGAGAAGTGTAAGAATTCATTCTTAGAAAGGGTAAAATTGGTGTAAAACATGACATAAGGTCATATGACATGTTATTAAAACTAAAAGGCTGAAATTGTTACCTTTTATGCTTTACAACTTTTGTAACTTAAAAAGGAGTTCAAGATCTTCAACAAATTTGATGAAAATCCTCCAAGTAAAGTCCACCCCAAGATGAAGAAAAGACAGCTGGCCATGAGAGCTCAAGAGAGAGATTTTAAATCCAAATGAAAAATTAGATTAAATTAGGGAAATATCACTTATTTATACGCAATGACCATTTTGAAATTGTTCTCAAGTCCTTGAATTAATATGAATCATGTATTAACACTTAATACAAATTCAATATTATTTTCAAGTCCTTGAAATAATTTCAATTTAATATTAACTCCTTAATATTAAATCATTATTGATCCTAAGTCCTTGAAACAATTTCAATTTAATATTAACTCCTTAATATTAAATCTTTGATTTAAACAAATTTATAATCAAGGCATATTAAATAATCTCATTTAAAATTTAACCCATTATTGAATCCAATTCAATAATATATTTTAATCCATCATTGAATCTAATCTAATAATGACCAAATTACCTTATTACCCTTGGTAAGTGCTAGTTTCCCATGAGTAATCATTTCTCACCAATACATAAATTCAGATGCACATGTTTACATTTGAACATCGTTAACCTTTAACGATATGTATTACTCTCTCTTTTCATACTTGGTTTTTAGGTGTGACCACTTAGGTTCACTGTAACCTAGCTGTGGGCCTTATATCACAATCCGATATATTTCGTCATAACTCTTTATGATCGAAACTCCCACCGATCATGGTAGGCATCTAACAATGCTCCATGAACCCTAAGCCACAATGAAGTTAAACTCCAATGAACCTTTTTCCCGATTGTACATTTTATGTAGCAAAATTCCTCTATCGTCTAATCCCGATTAAGTATAGGTTCATGGTATGTCAAAACTCTTAACTTAATCTTTATCCGAATTGTCAATCAATACAATGGAACGTGTCATCATGAAACTCCTTTTTCATATGACTATTTTGTATTCTGGCTATAGATTTCGCTTTTCCAATGTTTATTGACATTTGTTTGGGAATTCAGGACCAAACTATTTCGAGTCAACGGATCTCATCTTGACCATCACTTGTCCTCATACATGAATAACATATGACCAAACTGGTTTCTTACACAAAACATGACTAGTCTCATGTATATACATCATTTGAATCATATGCATCATATGTCAAGTCCAACCGTGATGTCTCAAGTCTAAGGATAAGTGGTACACTAGTACGATCCTAAGATATATCATTGACCACATTCTAAATGTTTATGTGATTCATCGTAATCGGTCATATTTGATAAATAGTTCACTAACTGTTTGTCCATGCTAATGCCCTAGTGACATAACTCTTATAACCACCCACACTAATACCATCACATAATATTCAAATGGAGGCATTCAGCATACCTACTATACAATGTTATTGCCCAATTAACATTACTTACGTAGGGAATGCTTCGATGATTTGATCTTCTAAAAATTTATATCATCTGGACATTTCACATGCATTATAAATAGTACAAATGAAGCAGTAAACAACGTATGAAATGATAACTCTTTCTTCTATTCTCAAAAGAGTATTTACAAGATATAATGTCATGGAACCAATAACACGATTGGCTCCTAGGGTATACACTAACAAGGAGGAGATAGAGTTAACTTGGCCGATGAACTGAGCATAGGTGAGAGCTTGATCGGTAATGGTGTTGTAGTGGAAAGTGGCAGTTGGGTGAGGAAGGAAGCGTTTGAATTCATGGTTTTTTTTTTTTTTTTAAAGTTTATATATACAAGATAAAATGAAATAACTACCTTTTAACTGTTTTGTAAATTTACCATTCTATCTTTTTTTAGTTAAAGTTAACGGACTGTGGGTGGGAAAATGTCGTTTTGAAACTTGATAGGTGGGAAATTATTATTTCATCAAACTTTGGGTGGGAAAATATCGTTGTCCCTTTATATAACTCTAAAAACTATTAACAATATATATTTAGAAAATAGGATTTAATAAGATAAGAAAGGAGGGGCCAAAAAGCATCACTCAAAAATTGATTGTTTTGATTTAAAGAGAATAAGAGAAAATTTGTATTAACTAACACACTAACACTAACCTTATTTTATAATTGGTTGGATTAACTATAATTATTAAGAAAGCGATAGTGACAATCATAGCTACACGACAATCGTTGCCTTCTCGTAACACGTATAAAATTAAAAAATATATTAAATTCATTTTTACACATTTAATAAAAGTAGTAACTATTTTTTTTTATATATATTATAGGAGTATTTTCATCCATTTTTGTATATCTCAATTAATTTCTGATGTCTATTAAACTTTTAGTTTCATTGAATATTTTATAAGCCTAATAAATTAGGTAAAATATAAATATAATAAATGATCATTTTATAAGATTTGAATACAAAATTTTTGAATAACTTACACAAATGACTGTGAGAAAAGTAATTATTAATAAAATCAAATTAGATTTAAAAAATATTGATATAGATGTATTTTTAAATTTTTAGAATATGATAATAGAATAAAGTAAAAATAGGAACAAAGGTCCTTTTAAACTATTACAGTTCCAATTGGGAGAATTTGCTAGTGACAATCGCGACAGCGCAGCAATTGCTGCCTTCTCGCGACAGGCTTTCTACATTGCTGTCCTTTACTCTTCCTTTTTAAGCCTCAAATACGATCTTATTGAATAATCTTATTTTGAGTTTAATACCTTTTCCCCCTCATGTTTCTTTAAATACAATAGTTCCCTTCACGTATCAAAAATAATAATTCACCTCCTTCTTCTTTTCACTGTTATGTTAGGTATCCGTTTATTAAGCAACATATTTTACACTTAATCCATTAAATTAAATAGCAAAATCCTAGCGAAATACTGATATTAGGGGGTAAATTATTATTTCTGATACTTGAGATGAAACCTCAAGGGGGGAATATTTTATTCTTATATTTTACTTTTAAATTATCTCACTTTTAATTAAAATAAAAAAAAACAGTGTTATTTAAGTCTCATAAAATCTTATTATAAACCCATTTATTAAATATAAAATATTAATAAAATTAAAAAATTAATTTTATTTCAAAAATACCCTTCTGCTAAATTTCTACAACTTGTGTTCTATTTTTTTTTTTTCAGTTCTAATCACAGTTTATTATCATAAGAAGTTTGTACAAAAATTAAAAGGAACTGAAACACATGAAGAAGAAGAAGAATCAAATCCAGTTTTTTTGTTTGCTATAGCAGAAAAATAAGAAGATAAATAAAAAATTAAAAGGGTTTATTTCGTACACCCCTTATGAGATCGTTTAATTTTAGCATACATAAGGTTTTTCAATAACTATCAATATAATTATTGAAAATCCCCTGAAACAGAGGGATTTTTAGTAATTCAAGAGAGTAGTTAATAATCATATGGAGGGTTTTTGATGGTTTATAAAAAAGTTTATGAAGAAATTGAGAACTAGTTCATGAATGGAATTAAAATACATGAAGAGATAAATACAGTTTCTTTGTAAAGGGATATGCCAATGAACCAAAGTTGCCAAAAGTTGGAGAAAATGGTGCATTTTACAGAAAAATCCCAGAAACAGAACCACAAAAACTTAAAAACAACAGCAATTGCAACTTTTCAAGGTAAAAACTTGATCTTATCAGGATAATGTCAAAATGATAAAACGTTGAGAACCATCCAGCCACTTAAAAGACATCCTTCTGAAAATGAGAAAATTACACCTATTCTTTTGGGGTAAGTTATGAACACCTACACTCTTTTGTTTAAACTGTAAAGTTTCCTACCAAGGTTTGTTTCCTTCGGCGGTTAGTTGCCCTCTGTCTTCTTCCCTCCTTCCACTGCTTTCTGGCTCGCTGACTTCTTCCCCCGCTTGCTCGCTTCTTCAGGTTGACGCTTCTCTGCTTTCAGGTCCTCCGGCAGATGATCAGGGTTTCCTTCTTCAGGATTCTTTGGCAAAAGCAACTTGCTGACTGCAGCACTGGCAATCTCAATGGTGAGAGTGGGAGCTGACTCCATCTGGGACAGCTGCATATCGACATCTGAGGTTCCTTGAGCACTGATTTCTTTGATTGCTTCCTCCTCAACTTTTTCTGTAGGAGACAGATCCTTCATCTTGTCTTTCATGCAACGAAAGCTCAAAATGGAGCTGATTACAGCATCTTCTGAAGCTGTTGTGTTCTCTGGTTCCGCCTGCTTTTCTCTGCCCTCCATATCTCCATTCACATCACCAGCTTCCAAACCGTCTTTGTTCTTCACAGCAGCTAGAGCCAATATGGTAATTTGACCTTCAGCATACTTTTCACCAACTTCTTCAAGAGCTTTAGCCTTCTTATTGTCTGTTTGATGATTAACTTCCATAGCTTTTTCGACGTTGACATCAACCTCTGATTTGCTCTTCTTGACTTCATCACCTGGTTTCACATCAACCTCCATCTTTGCATCCACTTTCTCCATCCCTGCAGCCGAATCCTGCTTAACTTTTGTACTTTTCTTTTGCAATTTCGAGCTCCCAAATTTGCCCACCTTCTTGGACACGTTTTCCTTCTTTGTCTCTGGAGTCGTCATCACTTCTTTAGCTTTAACATTCAACACTGGACTCTTCATCAATTCTTTAGCATCTTCAACCTTAAATGCCGTCTCTGGCAGCGTAAGTGGACTCACCTCATTACCATCCAATCCCCTACCTTTCTTTTTGGAACTGGAATCAGCTTTCAAGTTGAAACCCTCATTTGGCAAAATTTCAAGCTCAAACCGCTCCTTCCTTAAATTCAACTCCTCCTTGTCACCATCATCATAGAGAATGCTGTGCAGCCCTTTATTGGCATTGAAAGCTTTGATGTGCCCAGTAAACCATTTCCGTGACTCTGGCCAATAAACCTTGATTCTTTTCTCAACAATTCGGTGATCATCATTCTCACCCAAATCTACCATCCGGAAAGTGGGCACCTGTCTTGGACGAAGCCTTGGTGAACCTCTCTCTTGCGATTGCAAATAAGCTAGAATCATTTCTCCATCCGCACCCCTCTTCCGCCTCAGAGTTATACAGTTCTCGTCACTCTCCATCACAGATTTTTTCTCTGTGCCTTCTTCTTCCTTCTTAGCCTGGCCAGAGTTGCTTTCGTTTGCCAATGGTTGCTCTCCCTTAGGAGCACTGTTTGGATCTGTCTCTGCCAGCGCTTCTCCACCAATAACCTGCACCGTGTCTCCTAACTTGCTTGGTTTTGCCATGACCTCTCCAGTAGGCCGCCCACCAGCTAACTTCCTGGCTATTTCATCTTTCATAGCCCCTATTGTCATATCATCACCCACAGCAATTTCTTCTGATTTGCTTTCACCTCTGCTTTCCTTCAGAGTTACAGATCCGGATCTCTTCCTATACACATTTGCTGCCATCTCCTAATCAACAATGAGTACCAGATGAAACACGAATCCTGCAAAATCATAGAATACTCATAAGAATATACCTTAAAAATCGTAACAAGTGAGCCTTCATAACTCAACTTAGAACAAAGTTTTAAAAACACAACCAGTTAATAAAGCCAGCATTTCTGGAAGTTCAAGACCACAGAAATCATCCATAAACTAGAAATATGAATTCCTTGTTCAACATATTTCAAGACCCCAAAGTAAAGGCAAACCCATGGAACTCTACTAGAATTTAGAACCTTTTAAGAAGATTAAAACAAACCCTAATTTGATCAGAACAGAAGTCTGGAGATTACCCTTTACTTCAACCCTTCTACTGTTTATTAGAGGGAAAAGCCATATATGATTGGTTGGAGCTGGTCTGTAGAAGGTAACTAGAAAGGCACTAGGGAAAATAGACTTGATTACTGCAGCAAGATAAATGTATTATGCAAGATGTTCTGGAACAAAGAAGGGAACTATAATCAATGCAAACTCTTTATAACATCCATATTTTGCAGAACATCAACAATCATCTCGCCAATGGTATACGTTTGGCACAGAAGCTAAGGACAAGAAGGGTAGAGTTATTGTACCACACTAGTGCAAGGGAAAATGATTAGAGATGCTTTAGCTGATTGATTCATGAAATAAGATGTTTAGATTTTCACCGAAGAAGAGTTGAAATTGGAGGACATTGTAAAACGAGAGCAATCTGGACAAAACCTTAAATGCTGATACTCAAAATACAAAGTTAACACACAACAAAAATCACTGCAATCCCATAACTTATGGTATCAATCTTTGCTGCATGAGAACACCCATATTGACCAAAGTAGTCAAGAACTTTTATGAACTTGAGAAAAAACCAACATTGATTCTAGTATCAGAAAACTCAAAACTCAACAAAATCTAATGATTCCCAACCCAATGCATTCCCATTTAACTTCAAAAATGCAAGAAAAAACTAAAAACCTGAATCGATCAAAGAAAAATAAATTGTTGAATAACATCCACATTGCACGTATTAATCAACTTATCTGCCCAACCCCATCATAGAAACTGTTTTATTTGTACTTGAGTGTGCAAGTGAGTTTCGATTCATGAGTTTTAAAACTGTTTGGCAGTGGCTGTATGTATGGTGCTTGGAAGCTTAATTACTTTTCTATTGGAAATAAGATTAAGGCACAATCAAATGCAAGAAAAGCATTTTGGACACCACAGTGGCTTGAATGCTTAATTACTTTTCTATTGGAAATAAGATTAAGGCACAATCAAATGCAAGAAAAGCATTTTGGAACCACAACTGACAGCCGAAAGATTTAACCAAGCACACAATCCATTGCAACACATGAAAGCCATGATCGATTAGAGACCATTAGCCTGTTTGGTGTAAAAACACAGGATGCGATGAAACAAAAGCAAAATAAATAAAAGCATTACAGAATGCAAGAAATTTAACCTGAATGCCAACAGAATGGAACAATAGCAAAGCATATTGAAGACTATAACTCCAAACATGCTCAAAGACTTTGTTAAATTTCTGTAACAATGTAGCCAGATATGAAACCCAATCATCCTTTCAAGAAGAAATTGGTCAAATACAAGATTAAAAGCACAAAATTGAAGAAACAAACCTTAACTTTTGATACTTGGAAACCCCAATTCAACAAAATTGAAGACAAGAACCTCAAAAGAGCTTTAAAAAAAGGACCAAACCCTAGATATCAGGCAGCAAAAAATTGAAGAAACCAGAGACTGAAGACGAGTCCAGAAACCATAAGGATGAAAACTTGAATGCTGATATGAAAGAACCCCTTTACAAAATCAAGAAGTGATAAAAATTACTTAAAATTGTAAGATGGTAAAGTACATTTGACCAAAGAATCGTGAACATGAAGAAACAATTCAAAACACAATAAATGAAAACATTGGAGAGAGAGACTCAGAAACCAAAACGACAAAGTAAATGCTGATGTAAGAAACGCAAAAGCCCTCTTCTTGAAAGCCTCAAAAAGCCACATGCAACCCAAAATTCACAAGAGACATCACAAACAAATAATGATCAAATCAAATAAACCAAAAACTCAAACAGAAAGCAAAACAATCAGCCTTCAAAGAATCCCATGTCATCACAAATTCATGACTATAACCTGACCTTTAACAGTAGCAACACAACGGCCCTAACCCTGCAAGAAAATAACACAATTTAAGACCCAAATTCATCAAAAACCAAGACTACAAACTACACTCAACCCAAAAAAAATCAAAACTTTACCAAACAGAAACACTAGAATAAAAAATCAGAACATACCCACCAACCAAAACTTCAAAAAGAACTAAACTTTACTGGTAGCAACCAAATAGGGGCACCAACCCTGCAAAAAATACAAGAAAATTTAAGAAGCCCGAAAAGGAAAAAAAAAAAAAGAACTTTCTGTGGAAAAAAATTGAACTACAATGAGGCAAATTAAGTACTGAAACCGAAGAAACAGTGCATGGACAGTGAAAAGACAATACTTGGTAAGCAATTTATAGGCAGAAGACAAACCAGGGAGAGAGAGAGGGAAAAACCTTGTGCCAGTTGAGATTTGACAGTGTGCTGTGTGAGTTGTGAGTTGTGTTTTTAATAGGTGCAGGTGGTGTTTAGTGTGTTGTGTAGTTTCATAGTGTAGCCAGAGAATAAACGCCATGTCAGCATGGAAAAGTGGCGGGAAGGCTTCTGCGAAGCGACACATCAGAGTGGGGTCAGAGGCTTCTGTCATTGAACTTGAACAACCTTAATTTAGGCTAAACACCCTGTTTCGGAATAGTAATTAAACACTACTCCTATATATGAGCAAATAATAAACACATAATCTACCATTCTAGACACAAAAATTATGAGATACAAAGATTCTTATCATATATATATATAATTTTAACATAAGATTTGTCATTGAGAGAGAATGACATATTTCACCCTGAGTTTTTGGCTTACATCGAGATCCTGACCTTTTAAATACTTGGAAAAAACCCCCTCTATCTAATATCTCTAATCAAATTCTAACTTTAAACAACTTTTTTTTTTTTTTTTTATATAGATCTGAGTGAATTACATGTTTTATTCTTATGTCTACTAGTGTATTGCCATTCTACCTTTACGTGGGTTAACGTCTATTAGGTTAAAGGAGATTTATCTTAATAGTTTAAAGTTTAAACATTAGGATTTTGGCTAAAAGACCAAAACCCTTGGGGGTAAATCTAATTATCTCTTTTGTCACTTGTAAAAAAAAAAAATATATATATATATATGGGAGATTTTCAAATTCTATCCTATCCTTGGGGTTTAGCTAATACTCAAACTCCTAACACTTTTACGGGGAATCATCAAAAACGACCCTTAAACCCTAATTTCATCAAAAGATAGTTAACGCCCAAGGATACTTTCTTGTGAAAGTGACACAAATTTGAGTATTAACTAAATGTTAAGGGCATTTTATGAAAATCTCCCCAAAAAAATCTCAAAAATCTCATCCTAAATACTATATGACATTGATATGTAAATAAAGTAATGATTTTGTAAATGATATACAAACACCATAAAGAAATAATTATACATCACTTAAGATGAAAATTTTTGAAATATCTCTCCGGATGTATAATATTACTAAAAAACATACCATGAATGAAGTAGTTTCCTTGGAGTTAGAAAAAAATTTCGAGATTATAAAAAACGGAAGATACTAAACATATCAAATATCATACTATTACTTATAAAAAAAAAAAAAAAAAATTCATAATAAAATATCGAATTAATATGTAAATGATAAACAAATGTATAAATAAAACGGTAGTTAGTGACCATGCATTCTAAGTTTTAGTTCAATTATTATATTTTTGCAACCTACTTATATCCGTTATCACATCAATTCATCATTTACATGATTGAAACTATATAATATATTATTTTGGATGAAAATTTTGTCATTTTTCATTCAAAGTAATACACTATAACAAGTAATAAACTTATTACATAGCCATACATAGGGTGCACAACATTTATTTTTATAAAGTTGGAAATTTAAAGTTCAGTTTTTCACTTCATATAAAAGCTTGAGTAAAAAAAAAAAAAAAAAATTAAGCAAAAGTAATGCTATAACTACTAAGTTTTAACGTAATTTTTTTTTATATTTTAAGTGTTTTATATCGTTTATTCAATAATATTATATATCCCAAATAGATAAAGAATAATATTAGATGTACAAACAAATCTGACAAATATTTCTATGCAAACTAATGTAGCAGAAAATGGATTGAAGAATGAATATAATAAGTTTGATTTTTTGTATTTACTCTTCTATTCATTTTCGGTTACATCATTTTGTATGAAAATCTTTGTAAAATTTGTTTATACGTCTAACATTATTGATAGATAAAACATATAAAATAGATATTGGTAAAATGAAATTATGACTTAATTTAGTCTAAAAATCTATTACCATTGCTTAGCATAAATATTTAACTAAAAATAAACAATTAATTTAAAAAAAAAAAACTTTTAAAATAAATTTTATTATTTACAACACTTTGGATAAATACCGATACATTACTTAAATAATAGATAATATCGTAAAATGAAAATTACTATTTACTGTTTATAAAGTAGTTTTATTAACAATTATCTTTTATATTTCATCATTTCTCACATGTAAACATTAAGGGTTATTGTCACTTACACCCCCTCAACTAGAAACAAATAACAAGCTACCTTCACCAGCTGAGGACTTAATTACTCGGACACCCTATCGTCAACTTCGACGGTCAGTTTCGATAGAAAACCATAGTTGATGAACAAAAGGACCAAAATACCCTTAATGATGTCTCCGTAGTTTGTAATTACATATATACTCATAGATATTTTAAGATTTGACCATTCCACCCATGTAATTTCATTAAAAGCATTTATATGTGTTGCTTTTAAAAAAAAGGCATAAGAATGTTAACAATATTTACTTGTATTTCTTCTAATATTTCATTTTTGTAAAATAAAAAAAAAAAGGAAAAAAAAATTAAGACATACCTTTTAAATATATTTTCCTGTAAATAAAACAATCAAAAATCAAAATGTTTTTGTAAATTAAAAAACGAAAAAAAAGTATTAAAAATATGCTTTTTAAAATACATATTTTTTTGTGTAAATTGAAAATTTTAAAAATTTAGAAAATTGTTTTTTTTTTTTTTAAATGAACTGCAACAACAATCTCAAAAGTGGTTTCTACAATGTAGGACAATCAACGATTACAAATTTTCTTAAAAATATATTTTCTAGAATAATATTAAAATTTAAAATATATTTTTATTTTTAAAAATTTTCTAAAAAAATTATTATTTTAAAATATTTCATTTTATATTATGTATTTTACCATGAAATGTCAAATATACCTATTTTAGCATGAAATGTCAAATTTACCTTTCCGTTATTTAACTTTAACATAAAAAAATTTGATGGTAAAGGGTCTAAGTGGCTAATTCCTTAGTTGGTGAAGGTAACAAGTTAGTTGTTTATGTTTGAGGGGGTGTAAAGTAATTAACCCAAACATTAAACAATGAGTTAGCATGATATGTCATATGATCATACCAATAAGATAACACATTGTTTTGAACACAAAAACTTGAAATTGTACTTAGATGTATAAAATTACCTATTACTTACTGCCTCAACTCTTCACTTTCACTATTCTACATATTACACACCATGAGCATATATTTGCTTTTGTGTTTTTTTATTTTTTTCCACAAATGTTTTATGTACAAATCTAGATGAGGGATATGGCTACCTTAGATAGTGAACTTATATAATATTAGGTTTAAGTGCTAATTTATTACTTAAAAGGCTTCTAGGGTTAATGCTAAGTGTCACGAATCCTATATTGAAAAGCGTATTAAGGAAGTCTTGAACGTATAAGAGAAGAGTTTCTTTATCTAATGGGTTAATCTTTTGAGTGAAAAACTCACAGTCCATGACAGTGGTATTAGAGTAAATCTGATTCGTTGAATGTCATGAAACTAACATCAAAAGCATATTAGAAAAGTTTTGGACTTATATAAAGAGTTGTCCCTCTGCATAATGAGTTATTATTTGGGGCGTGAAACTCCCGCCTGTGACATAACGTATTTTTTTTTTTTAAAAAAAACATGTTATCCTACGCACCATTTTTTAGATACCACACTACTAAAGCAACAGTAACATTACCGGATTGGGTGTAGTTCGATTTGACATAGTGAGGAGGGACACGTGGCAATAACCCACAAGAGTTCCCGCTAATTTTTATAAGGAGAAAAATTTGGGTTAAAAATTAAAATGAAAGAGCTTGAAAGTCTTTTACAAATGTTGATCTCTTCAAGATATGTAATCTAGGGTTTATCTCTTCAAGTCTTTCAGGTTTGGTTGTTTTGTTTAATATCTTAATTGCTTTTTATGATCCTTTATGAAATTTTCAGATGAATTTGGCTTAGGTTAAGTAAATTTGATATCTGGGTTTGAGTGTTCTAGTAAATTAGAATTTCAGGTGTTCTAAAAGTGAAAAAGATTCAATTTTCATGAGGCCTGATGATGAAATGTTGTAAAAAAAATAATGATAAGCTGGAGTCATAATGAAATTAGAGAGTGAGTGGCTTTTGAAGTAGCTGCTGACAAAAAAAATCCTGATATTTTGCAGGGAAAATTGAAAAGTTCAATGTTTGATCTAAAGACAATGTATCCAGTAAGGAGCAGCAAGGGTTTTGAATGCGAAAAAAAGGACCTAGTTGGATGAAGCCAAACAATGCGCAAAACACGTGAGTGTACTTGCTATTATCTGAAGATTATATGACTGAAGTGATAACTAAAAGTTTTCTATTATTTTAGTTTGTTTTGAGGAGGTAAAGTCGCTTTCACTCTTAGGAGTTTCTTTAGATTTGGTACTTATGACTTGCTCTTGATGATAGAAAGTGTTGGCTTTGATTCTGAAAGTAAGTTGTAAATTAATCACAAACCTTGATGGGTTATACTTCAAGCCATTAGATTGATTCCTAACATTTCAGATAATGTTTGCTTGTTTTGATGGCTTAGTATATCAAATAAGGGTAATCACTTGTCATTCTAGATTTTGTTGGTTAAATGAGTGCCGTTTAATCGTATTTTACCTTGGAGTGGATGCAGTTAAATTGATTGGAATTGGTTTGCTTTTCTATTTGAATCCTAAGTGTCATCAAACTGGGAAATTTGTGAACTTAAAATCTACACTTAGAGCTTAAAAACCACTAGAACTCTGATGATTAGTTAACACATCAATAACAAGAAAACAGAAGTAGACAACAATCCTACTTGAACTTATGCATATTAGATAAATAATGCAACAAATCAAGTTAATGAATAACATTTTAGGAAAATCACAAGTAGAGTTGATAGATGCATACCTGCGTTGCTCCAAGATCAGTAGAAAGAGTTCTCCTGAACTTTTTGAAGATCTCAATTAGTTAGAATAAAAATAGTGTAAGAACTTACTGGAAACTCCTGCTAAGTTTGAACATCTAAGATCAAGAACTTCCTTGACGAACTAAAGTACCTCCACCTGCTAACGTACTTACTGGAAAACAT